TTAGAAGTCATTGTTGGTGGTAGTTGAGAGAAGGATATGGTTTTGATTATGCGTACGATAAGCGTACTGAATGCTACTTTATACTTTAAAGAGCTGAAATCCTGAAATGTTATACTTGGACCTCTGTTGGTATTTGAAGGTGGTATTTAAACAAATACGTACTATTACTGTTCGAAAAGTACTAAATGGTAATAATTTTGGATCAATGTTGGTGTCTAAGACGGAGAGATGTAGATAGTTTTGGATATGCTAAAATGTTACTAAATTTGGAATTGGGTGAAGGAATATAGCTAAAGTGCTGAAATTTGATTTTCAGGTCACTGGTGGTTTCTATGGTTAACATATGGAGGTGTTGAAATCGGAAAGTTGGATGTGGGTCTATTGTCAAACTGAACAAATTGTGCATTTTAAGTATTTACATGTAAAAAAGCAATAAGATCGCCAGGGCCGAACTTTGCATACCCTCCACCTTTTGGAACGAACTTGGAAATTTTCAAAGCAATTTTCTGTCACAGGCTGTAGTACCCATTACGAAGTGCAAATACGAAATTTGAAACAATTCCAGTGAATACGTTTATATGGGGGCTATACAAAGACCTGGACCTGCATATGCAGTTTTCAGTCATAGGTTGTAGGACCCATTACTAATTTCGAATACGGAACCATAATCATGGAGGTACCGATATATAGAGGCTATGCGAAGACCTGTACCTGCACATACAATTTTCTGTCTTAGTCTGTAGTATCCATTTCGAACTTAAAATGCGAAATTTGAAATAATTCCGGTGAATAATGCCGCTAAAATTATCAAAATACGGAATATATGGAGTACAGTTAAATGAGGGCTATACGAAGCTTTAGTACACATTACGAAGTGCAAATACGAAATTTGAAATAATTCCGATGAAATATTGGGATGAACGGTATATGGGGGTTATACAAAGACCTGGACCTGCATATGCAATTGTCTGTCATATGTTGTAGTACCTATTAGGAACTACAAATACGAAATTTGAAATAATTCCGGTAAATAATGTCGCTAATGTCATAAAAATACCGGATATAAAGAGGTTCAGTTATATGAAGCTATAACTAAAAGTGGACCTTTATAGCGCATTTTCAATACCAAAAGTCCTGCAGCCGAAACATACATTTGAGTAAAATTTTATCAGCCTAATTCAGGGCATCAATTTTCCAAAAATAGCTGTTTTCAATCCAGTGCGAGCTCTGTACGTGTCTTTAAGGTTAGGTGAGGCAGAGTTGTTTTCAGAACCCTTATTATGCGTTTTGCAGTCATTATGGCGTTGCCCTCAGTTGTCGAACTATATTGGAGGAAAACGTCGATTCTCTATGCCCCTGTTCACGAATATTGAAGCTAGTAAATTGTCCTTCCTTTTTTTATTATTTTTCTACTATGAGGTTTTCTTTTGACAACATGCCGACCTCTTCAATTGACTGTCCACATATGGCTCTTGAAAATATTTTCACCTTCGTTTATTAGAAGAACGAACACGTTCGCAAGAAAAAAAAAAATGCTAACGATGTTGTTTTCATTTCATCAGGCCCGTCAATGTTCTCAAATTGAAGAGCTATAGATTGATCGAAGAGACATATTTGTTATCTCATCTCAATTAAAGCGTTTAATTACTTGAACACAGCAAACATGTGAAACATATTTGTTCAGCGTTTTACCGCATTTGGTCAATGGCAGACAATTTGCAATGATTTTGTTTGTTTTTTTTTTTTTTTTTCAAATTTTGTTCTAAGAAAAGCTCTGTGTTAATTTGACCATTCAAGTTCACACGTTTGTTTGATTTAAGCTTTTCAAATTAAGAATTACTTTTTTTCTAAAAAAAAAAAATTACAAAAACAAGTTCATTGCTAACGCAGTTTTACAACAAAATAATGACAACATCCAACACATAAGGCCTTTTGAAAAACATTAAATGACGCAAGGCGCATGCGTGCACGTCAAATGTCAATAAATCGGACATTTGACAGCCAAGAAGTTTGGTGTAAACAAGACAAAAAAAAAAAAAAAAAAAAAAACGAACACACACCCTCTTCTTCGTTTCTCTTTTAACAAAAGAAGTCTTTACCAAATTTGTTGCCATTTTTTTTTTTTTGCAAACCAAAAAATATTAACCGCAGTTTTTTTTGTCAAAACTTGACAATGAATGGATTTTTACGAACAAGTCATTTTGTCTAGTTTCCCATATATCTAGACCGAGTAGTTACTCTCAAAACCGTGTGACCCACTGGACCGTCGACCACAGCAACAACAGGTTTCCTTATATGACAAGGTCCTAGTTTGTGTGTTTTTTTTTTTCTCTTTGCTATTTGTTGTTGCTGTTCGTTTACCTCAATTAGCTGCAATAATTGCTAATAAAGTTGCAATATTTTTGTGCGAGCTGTAATAATAATCTCCTCCGCTCATAATCGCTTATGGCAATAATGTTTAGTTTAAGTTTTTGTTAGTTTGTTGCTTTTTTTGTAATTCAGAATATTTTATGGGTTTTTTTTCGTTTGAAATACGTGTAAATTGTTAACCATTTATGGGCAAATTAATTAAGTTTTGATTTTTTTGGGAGGTGAGAATATTATTGAGGCACTATTAGACAATGCCATATAATGAAAACTGTTGAGATATAATTGGTGAGAATAATTTTTGTAGAGTCCCAAAATTTGAGGCCGCTTCTAGTCTAGAGGGCATTATAGAAAACTACGCGACGGCTTCCTGTTTTGTAGAAGGCACTATATTTTATACAAGACCCCAAAAAGGCGTTTTTTGGTATTGAAGATCTCCAGAAGACCTTTTTTATGCGAAAAAAATCATCTCTTCTAATAGAAGACCTCTAAAAGTTCTTTTCCATAGATGACCTCTAAATGTTATTTTCCATATACAACCTTTTAAAAGGTCTTCTTTTCACATTTGGACTTTACAAGACCTTAAATCTATGGAAGACTGCTAAAAAGTTGTCATTTCACTTAAAAAAACCTCTATAACGTCCTCTGTTTACAGATAATTAAAAAATTACACTGAACCACAAAAATAATTACAGGGAAATTTTAGCAGATTATAAAAGTGTAACTAACGAGCTCTCCGCTCGTATTAATCGACCGTGCTATCAGAATAAATGCCGAATATTATCGCGAAAATATTCTGGAGGGTGTATTAAGCCTTGGGCACGCAAACATTTTGGCCGCAGACCTTGGGCATTCCAACAGGACTCAGCACCATCGCACTCAGCACGCGCCACCCAAGAATGGTTACAAAATGAGGTTCCTCGCTTCATTTCCAAAATCTCCGGATACCAATCCGTTGGACTATTGGGTCTGGAGTATTTTGGAAACCAAAGTTGGTACTAAAAAATACCAAAGTGTCGATCACCTCAAGCAAGTGCTTCGCCGGGAATGGTCCAAAATACCGCAGCAACCTTCGAGCAGCGTGTGACGGTTTCATTGGCCGTTTGAAGGACATAATTCGTGCCAAAGGTGACCAATTCGATCTAAACTTATTTCGATCTTTTTTTCTTTTATTCATTAAAATAAAAAAAAAAATGTAAAAATTATGGCGTTTGACTTTGTTGCAGTTTTATTATCTCACCCTGTATATATAGGCTATAACTATATCTGAACCGATTTCAATCAAAATTTGAAACACTTGCCTTTAGGCCTAGATCCACCGGAAGAGTAAAAAGTCGGTCCATTTAGGCTGATGTTAGCCATTATTTTCTGAGATCGGATTAAGGATATATACGGGAGCTATATCCAAATCTGAACCGATAAAATTTGGCAAAGGTACTTTCAAGCTCTATAAAATATCTGGTACCAAATATCATTCTTGTTGGATGCATATTACGCATGTGAAGGATCTAAACACCAAATCGGATGAAGCATATATATGGGAGCTATATCTGAACCGATTTCCAGTAAATTTTATGTACTTTCATCTAGACTGAATTCGGTTGGATGTGCCATAATTCAGGACTGTTGGGCTGATATTGGCCATTTGGTGCACAAATAACCCGAAATAGGTTGAAGATATTTGAAAACTATATCTAAATCTGATGCGATCATCACCAACTTCAATAGGGTTCGTCCTTGAGCCAAACAAATGTTGTTTGTTCACAAAAATACATGGATGGACAGATGGGCAGATGGACTGACATGAATAAATCGAGTCAGAAAGTGATTCTATGAAGATTCTCAAAAGTAACTATGGGCCTATCTCGTTTCCTTCTCCATGTTACAAACAAGTGTACAAAGACATAATACCCTTACCACTATATGGTGTAGAGTATAACAATCCGTGCTTAATTGCCTTTCGATTTCATTTGGATCCTTCTTAAAATGTTCATTAATATACCCCGCTTATTCTCTCGAACTTCGCTTAAGACAACTTGATAAATTTCCTAATAAAACAAAAAAAAACGAATTTAAAAAACATTTCTCAAACCAAAAACTGGTATTGTGGGTGTTGCGAAACAAAAAAAAATATCCATCGCCAACAAATAGCAGCAACAACAAAACCTATGGCAAAAGTTTGAACCAAACTCAAAATCATTAATGAAATATTTAATTACTATTATTTTCATTAACTCGAGAACTCGCTTTTTTTTTGTTTTGTCAGGCAATAAAAATAAAGCAATTATAAATTGTTAACATTTAAAGAACCGCATAGAAGACAGAAAGAGAGACAACTACGAACGAACAAATCACGATTTAAGAAAAATAACTTTATAAGGAAAATAAAAAAATATATTACAAAAAAATGATATTCATATTTATATCGTGAGAATTCCTTTAATAGATTTTCTTTGTTGTTTGGAATTTTCTAAGACCCCGTTTCAGGTTGTGCCTTGGCTGAAGAAGGGGTGGGGGCGTTATAATTATGTTGAAAATAAATAGAAGTATTAAGTGATTTATCACACTCGCCGTGAAATTGGCGATTAATTTTGTATTTGGGAGAATGTTTCAAGGGGCCAATGAATACTTACCGCACCAGAACCTTTGGGTTTAGAGGCAGCCACATAAGCTAAATACTGAATAACTTTTTTCGTATTTTCGGTTTTACCAGCACCTGATTCTCCGGTACACAATATGGATTGATCTTCGCGATCTGTAAAAAGAAATACAAAAAAAAAAAAAAAAAAAAAAAAAAAACATTATAATGATTATTAGTACATGGAAACATGAAAAAAATCTAAAAAATAATTGAAATCGGAATTGTTCTTCCATAGAAGCTATTTCAAAAAGTGGACCGATATGATCCATTTTCGATTCCAATTATTCAAGATGTAAAGCAAATATCTCTATCAAATTTCAAAGCTCTATCTTAAATGAAAAGCGAAATGTATCTCAAAAGTGGTGAACTGCCAAATTGGGTTTTCTCCGATGAGAAAACTTTCGTTGTAAACAAACAAAATTATCGTGTTTCCTGGCCAAAGAGGTCTGTTGAAAATGTGCACCTTCGTTTGGACACCAGAACTCAAACGCCGGCCTTGGTGATGGTGTGGGCCGCCATAACAGCCGATGATCGCTCTCCGCATCAGAATAAATGCCGAATATTATTGCGAAAATATTCTGGAGGGTATATTAAGCCTTGGACGCGCAAACATTTTGACCGCAGACCTTGGACATTCCAACAGGACTCAGCACCATCGCACTCCTCCACTCAAGAATGGTTGCAAAATGAGGTTCCTCGCTTTATTTCCCGCGCACAATGGCCACCAAAATCTCCGGATACCAATCTGTTAGACTATTGTGTCTGGAGTATTTTGAAAAGCAAGGTTTGCACCAAGAAATACCAACGTGTCGATCACCTCAAGCAAGCGCTTCGCCGGGAATGGACCAAAATACCGCAGAGCAACATTCGGGCAGCGTGTGACAGTTTCATTGGCCGTTTAAATGCCATAATTGGTGCCAAAGATGACCAAATAGAACAAATCTAAACCTCTTCTAAAATTGTATGCTATTTTCGACATTTTTTGCTTTAATTCAATGAATTTAAAAAAATGTAAAAACTATAGCGTTTGACTTTATTGCTGTTTTTTTTTCACCCTGTATGGCTAAAGGTATAAAAAAGAACCAAAACGACCTCTTTGTTGTCTTGTTTGAGGATTAAAACTTCCGATTGAAATATTCCTTGTAATCTTATTTGCAAAATTTCTGAAGGCACTATATACCTAAAATGCACGGTTTCCAAGGAATCTTAATACGATAATTTCCAAAAGTGTGGGTGTTAGGGGAACTTCCTCCCCACACTTAGGTTACTTTGCGATGTGAACTTTCAAAAAGCTTGTCCTTTTTTTGTTCTACTTTCAAAATCGTCTGGATTCCTCACGTAATTATTTAAAATTAGAATTTTGTCGCGCAGTGATATTGTTTCCTTTTAGTGCTCCTTAGAATTTCCGTTTTGAGTCCCTTAAAAGTTATTTAGGAGGCGCTCTTAGTGGCGCGAAAACCGCCATGGAAAATCATTTCTCTTTCAACTTATTTACGTTGTTTTATTTTTTCTTCTTACTGCTGGGCTTTAGGTATTACCCCGTCTGTTATTGCCACTACCCATAGTTGGCTAGGGTGTGTCTGGTATTCAATTTCAAATTCAATATCGAAATATCTTCATAATCTCTTCTTATGCCTTTGCGAGTGATTGTTGTTATTGTTGGCATTGGCATATCTCAGTGCCAGATATTTTCTGTGCAGATACGAACTGACTGAGTGGCTGGTTGGTGGTCACCCAGCAACATTGAATGGAAAAGTAATTAAGAAATGTAGCCTTGTTCGTAAACAAGTCCAGCGGTCAATAGCACTACTCCAAGGGAGCTTAATTTTCTGGTTATCAATTTCATCAACTGCTTTTTTCATTGGATACATTTTTTTTGATGGCATGCCAAAATCAGAAGGCAACAACTTAAAGACTTCTATTTTTAAAGTTTTGTTTTATGTTCAGGATAGAAACGTTGTAAAGCTCACAAAAACTAGGTTAAATTCCATAAATGTTGCTACTAATTTTTGTGGGTGCCACCCTTGTCAAATCCCCAACATAATTGTGTGCGGTGGGTCACTCCTGTTTCCCTGTTCCAGTTTTCATCGTTCATTTGGATAATGTAATATACTGTCATACAGGGCAGCGGGAAGATATGTATGCATGACTCATCATCGTCACGGTCTCCACAACATATTGCAGTTTTGAAAAGGAAGTAATGAACGAGAAATCGTTGATAGCAACGCAACTTTTTCTATCAAACCTGTCCCCCTCCAACCCTCACCCACCCATCGCCCCAACCAATCCCTTTTCATGTGTGAATGGCACGTTGAAGCGCTTTGCGTTTATAACTTGACTGTCCAGTTGGTTGGTCATTATTTCATTTGTCTGCGATATGCTAATATCAGCAAATTTCTCTCGCTGCATACGTCTGAGATGGATGAGTCATTTTATGCAAATCGGAATCCACTATTGTGAAATGCTACACTTATCACTCGTTTTTATAGAGTGTCACTTTATAAGCTGCGGGGATATGAAAATGCATATTGTCGAAGAAATATAACTATTGGCGTAGTTTTAAGGTTCTTCGAAAAAAAAATTAAATGCAATTAAAAAATGTAAGCAAAGGCTATAGTCTACAGTGCCGACCATATGATATCCTACAAAATTACAATCTGTTGGAAGCCCCCTTATATCCAAATCCATATTGGAAGATTTCGTTTTTGAGATGATGTCATAGAGCCCTGCCCAGATGTTACCCTTTGGTTTTTGCCCGGGGGCATGTGTCCAATATTTACGCATTCCGTCGTGTTGTTAGGTGATCAAAACAATTTCACACGAAAGATGTTGTTCATTTTACAGCTAAATATAATCCAATGGTCATCTGAAAATGCTTGACTTCTTCCCTGTCCTTAACTCTCTTCTCATACAAAATTGCGTGTCGATTGGTTTTCAATTATGGCCTGTAGAGCGACTGCAAAATCCGGAAAATTTTAATGGTTTTTGGACTATTTGAACATCGTCCAAAACAATAGGCTTTAATTCTGACCCTAACCCTACCCCATGCAAAATTACATGCGGATAATTGCGACCTGTATATACAGGGTGAGATGAAAAAACTGCAACCAATTTCAGACTTCTGTCATTTCAAAGCCACTCATCCGACAGGTGTTAAAATTATTCCAGTGATAGCTCATAATATTGTCTACAAGCGTGCAAAACCATTTTGGTGAGAATTTTCCAGAAAAAAAGTTATTCGTGATGGAATTTAAGCGTGGTTTCTTTATATTTGACTGGAAAACCATCAGTGGCTATAGTTAGAGCACTCCAGCATTTAAATGTGAATAAATCTTTTGTGTCTCGTACCATCGCTCGTTACCGTGATACTGTTAGCGTAGCCCGACGTCAAGAAAGTGGACGAATGAAAATAGCAACATCAGCAGAAATGGTTTGAAAAGTACAGAAGCGACTTGATCGAAACCCGCTTCGCTGTGGCCGAAAAATGGCTCGTGAGCTGAACATATCGCAATATTCCATTCGGCAAATATTGAAAAATGAGCTCGGGGTAAAGCCATTAAAATTCCAAAAAGTGCAAGAACTTAGATCGCAACAGAAAGAAAATAGACCCAAAAGAGCTAAAGAGTTGCTTCTCTTTTCCGAAAGTGGTGAACTGCCGAATTCGGTTTTTCCGATGAGAAAACTTTCATTGTACAGCCTTTGTAAACAAACAAAATTATCTATTTACTTGCCAAAGAGGTCATTTGAAAATGTGCACCTTCGTTTGGACACCAGAACTCAAGCGCCGGCCATTCTGATGGTGTGGGCCGCCACAACAAACGATGATCGCTCTCCGCTCGTATTAATCGGCCGTGGCATCAGAATAAATGCCGAATATTATCGTGAAAATATTCTGGAGGGCGTATTAAAGCCTTGGGCACACAAACGTTTTGGCCGTAGGCCTTGCACATTCCAACAGAACTCAGCATCATCGTATTCAGCACGCGCCACCCAAGAATGGTTACAAAATGAGGTTCCTCGCTTTATTTCCAGCGCACAATGGCCACCAAAATCTCCAGATACCAATCCGTTGGGCTATTGTGTCTGGAATATTATGGAAATTAAGATTGGCACTAAAAACTACCAAAGTGTCGATCACCTTTAGCAAGCGCTTCCCCGGGAATGAGCCAAAATTCCGCATTGCAACATTTGGGCAGCGTGTGATGATTTCATTGGTCGCTTGAATGCCATAATTCGTGCCAAAGGTGACGAATTCGAACAAATCTAAACTTATTCCAAAATTTGATGCTATTTCCGACATTTTTTGCTTTCATTGACTTTGTTGCAATTTTTTATCTTACCCTGTATTTTCAACATTTAGTCCTTTGAAAATAAAATTTTGCTAGAGTTCCTCAAAAGATTTATATAGTTTCCTATAAATTTTTAGAAATTAAGAAATACATGTTGAAAACTCCAATATTATGATGGAATTCCAGTAATCGGACTTTCAACAAATTTTCAAAATCTATATTTTATAAGGTCCTCGAAATAATTAAAAACACACACACATAATTTAATATATATTTTTATAAAAACTCAAACAATTAAAATATTTATTTGAAAAAGAACACCACATAAAAGCCCTCCAAAAAAACTATACTACATTTTTGTCACCCTCTGTATATATTTTTTGGTGTTATCTTGTTATTTTATTTGGATTTTTATCTAAAACCAACCGAAAATATTATCTATGAACGTAAGCTTTAGAAATAATTTATTTTTAAATCTATTACGCCTAAAAAAGACTCTCACCGTGGATTTGGACAAAAAATGTAATAACGCAAATATTATTCGGTCTCTCTCTCTATCTCTTCCGCTCTCTCAGTCTTCTTGTCACATCTAATAACATATAGCACAAACCTTCAGTAGGTTTGTTTTCGTCCATGGAAAAATAATTGTATTTGCGTTTCCTAATGACCAAAAGCCTAAGGTATTTATTTGTAATGATGTGGACGGACAACTTGTCCAGTGATAAGATAACGTTGTAGGAACTTGGTTATATAATAACTTAATATGAGATTCTCTCTCTCTCTCTTCCAGGTAAGGGATTAAGTTGAGGGGTAAACAAACTAATT